GGCAAAATGCAAAATGTACTAACGAATTTCAGGTTTAAATGTAAAATCAGACAACCACCATGAACATAGATTTACATCTGATAAGATTTAATCTTAATAGTTAAATGCTTGTTAATATGTACATGTCCCATATGAAAGTCATTCGTGATCGTTTGAAGATAATATCAAAGTGAATGTAGACATCTTCTTACGTACATATAGATTAGGATTGCTCAAATGTCACCCATCGAAGTGAAAATTGTCCTCGAAACCTAAATTATCAAAGCTTAATTGACTCATTGGAACTGCTGAAAAAATGGCAAATCTGCCATCGTAATTTGAAATGATATCAAATAGACCTGACCTAATTTCTATAAAATTAATAATTACTCGATTGTTATGTCATTAAATACACATGCATTTCATTGTTAGAGATTTATAAAGCACTTAAATGGTAACAAATATTACGAAACAACCACATATATTATTAAATATATACTTCCACCATTGACTCATAGCTTTTACTGAAATACATAAATTGTCCTTAAACACACACTAAGGGCTATGAGTACAACATTCTTTGCTGTGAGAGAACTCAGTACATTATCGTGGGTTGTGCGTTCATCAAGTTTATAGTAAAAAAAGAACTGAACTTTATAACGTCAACACATTTTCCCCCTGTTTTTCTTTGACGCTTAAAGATAATATAAACACAGATCGTTGCCAGATAATATCTTGATATCTCTACCTGAACCTGCCCAACAAAAAACAAGAAACTAAAACAAATAAATGAAACTGCGCAGAAAAAGATACGTTGTTGATCAACTGTGAGATAAATGTTAAAAGAAAAATATGTAGCCTAAAACGCGGGCTCAGTTAAACCTGATTTAAAGCAAATAACAATGAAATAGACTTTACATCTGCGGATGATTCTAAATTCAAAATTTCACCATTTTCATGTTTAAATATTGAATTCTGCTTAAGCCGGTGCTTGGGGACGTGAGCGGTAACTTGCAGTTTTCAGTACCATCCATGAACAAGGTCAATCAAACTGAGCCTGCAACATTTTCAATTTTGTCGTTTTGGGTGCTCTTTGGGATTTCGTTTTTCTCTATTAACAATGAAAACATTACCAATCTGATAGGGATACGTTCATTTTGACAACATATTAAATGAAATTATTTTGTTTTTTCTTCAGAAGAGAGGGGTAAAAAAAATAAAGAATGACATTATAAAAAGAAAATCCAAGGAGCGTAAAACTTGCTATGTTACTGTCATATTTTTTTGGTCCTTTGGAATAATAATTTCCACTGCATGTAGTGTTAAAATTAAATACAGCTTAAACCGGGGTCAGGCATTTACATTGTCTGCCATGAACAGACTCAATCAAATCGAGTCTGCAATTTTAGTTTATTTTTGATGTTTTCGTTGCTTCAAAGTGGACTCCATTTTTTTTTAGATTTTTTAATCCCTTTCTTAACACGGCAAAATATTGTAGACTCAGTTTGATTGAGCCTGTCTTGGTAAAAATACAAGCTTATGTTCAAGCCTCCTCCCTAGCACCGGCTTTAACAGAACTTAACATTTAAACAAAAACGACGATGTTTAATTTAAAAAAAGAGAACCACCCGCAGATGTTTTAAACTTACTTTATTTTTATACGTTCTATACATTATGTAAGCGGGAGAAATGCAGATATAAAAACGTGATAAATTGTTAAACAAATTGCTATTTTTATGTATTTGATACCTTATTTGACAGGTGTATTAACAGGGTTACAAAAATGTTGGGTAAAGTTAAGCCTAGTATTGGCTGCATATCCTGGTTATCTTAAATAAGTCACACCCAGTTCCAATTTTAAATCTTTAAATGATGGCTGTTCAGTAAGTATTTATAGCGGGTTGGTTTAAACACATTTATTTAAGTTCGATTGCGAAACAAGTTCTAGAAACTTATATTAATCACTTTCAAGTTTGCTTCCTGGAACTTACTAGTACTGGTGTTATATGAAGTAACATAGTTGTGACCCAAGTAGGGCCCAAACCCATGATCTCTTGGTTGAGAGGTAGACACCTTAACCACCGCTCGCTTTCCTTATGGTTATGTACTTTATCAACGGCATATTTCATTTTCCACTTTATTTCTTTTGATTTGACAATTATATGAAATGATTTATCTAAAAATAAATTATTTAACCTGTAGAAAATCTAAAATCCACTTTACTACTTAAATGGCAATGACCATAAGATTATGGGATCAGTATAATAAAAATACTTCTTATAGCTTTATACCCTTTGAACATCTCATTTTTGTTCTTCATTGAAAATAAAAACTTTCTTGACCATGCTTTTATTAAAAAAAAGATTGACCGAAGTTTTCCCAGCAGTTGGGGGTCCCTTTTTATAATTCAATTGAACAATTCTATTTCAACAAACGTTTTGCTTTTTCAGCCAGTTTTGGGCTTTACATCATTACATATGATACAACGGGACTTCATGTGCTTTCAGTGTATCTTTACCTATTTAAAACCGAGATTAGATATAAATAAATTGTACACCGTTCATTGGATTAAAGATTAAAGGTTAATCTTGCTTTAGAAACAAGTTCGATATGTTCTCAAACATTTACAATAGAACTGACAAAAAGATAGACTTTCTAAAACACTAAACTTTATTTAGAATAGAGCGTAATTCTATGACGTAGGTAAAAGCCAAATATACATCAAAATAGCAAATTATACGAAGGCCCGAATTCTGAAATAGTTCTGAATTATAAATAATAAGGCACTTTTAATAGTTTTATTGAAACTATAAAAAAAGAAATGATATTTTTGAACTAGATGACTCGGTCGTGTGAGGCAAACATTATTGTTAGTCACTAAGATGAATCATCGCTTATAATAAAGATTTACTTAAGGTATTACCACCCTAATGGGCACTATACGGAACAAGAAAATTGACATCTTAGGTCAGATAAATACCTTAAAGTACACCTGTTTGCAAAATTTAAACAAAGTTTACCGTACGGAAATCAAGTTATGGCCACTTTTCTGAACTCAAGCTAGGATGTTATGAGGGCCCTTTTTTTTTTAGAAATGAGGAACCTTTAAATAATCTGCAAAAACATTCTAATGAAAAATGTTTTCCCATTAATTTTTGGTAATTTCAGCTAACAAGCCACATAAGCAAAATTATGGTTTCTACTTAAAATTTCTGAAATCTGTATAAAAATGTTACCCTACCCCACCCATTTTTACCAGGTGAGCCTAATTTAAAAAATCCTTAAAATTTACCCAAATGAGTGCCTGTTTTCAAAGTTTCCCTAAAATTTTAGAGAAGTATATTGGTTGATCTTAAAAATATGAAATACTTTTACCGTCTAGTTTTATTTTATTACACTTTAAAAATATCAGGTACCATATTTATTACTAGATTTAGCATAATTTAGCCAATAAATACATATATAAATTAAAAAATCAAAATTAAACACTTTTTTCTTTCCAAATGGGACATGAGAGATACATAAATAATGTTAAAAGAAAAAAGGAAAGAAAGAAAAAAAGTTGACCCTTGTGGGGATTGAACCCACGGCCCTCATTTTCAATGTAGTTAACAGTAGTTCTAACCTATTTGAATACTCTTCAAAGCGGAGGTAATGCATTATGCTGGTAATACCTTAAAGCTACTTGCTTGTCTCAAGCCAAACATATTACAGAGTCATTGATTGTCGAATGTCAAAAAGCAGACCAAAGGGAAAGAACAATAATTATAAAAATGTTTAATTTTCTTACAATAAAAACCATAAAAAGTCCCGATGTATTATTTTATTGACCACATAATTTTCAAATTTTATATGCATTGAATATGATAATGTCAGAGTTTATCAAATTGTCGTTCACAATACAAATGTACAATAACAAAAAGGAAAAAAAACGAGAGATGAATAGTACAGTAGTACAGTATATAAACAACAAAGGAAACGTTCCAAAATACATCTTAAAAAATAAATTCTTTAAAGCCAAAGAATTAAATTTCGATAAGGAAAGCGTCCACGCAAATTTCGAAATCGTATTCCATCGGCGTATTAACGCAAAAAGATCTGGAAAATGAGTGGTCCCTCGGAAGCAAGGAAAGTTTTCTATCTAGATAAGTGATCCAAAGAGCCGTTTGCTTAGAGGTTCTATTTTTAAAAACAGCGGATTACAAATACTTTACACTACTCTAAAATCATACGAGTTATATCGCTAAAAAAATAGACAAAAATAATGTATGACATCATTTTATCTTATTATTACATATTATAAAGTAAGTCATAAATTTTCATATAATTTGGTAAAAAAAATATTATACAGATAATTCTGTCAAGTGTTTACAGATGACGCCGACCATGTGAGCTCATATCCCTATTTTGCCTGGTCCTTGTGAATCGTTGATTCGAAAAAGTTTATGTTTAAAACGCAAAACGTCTGAAAATAGTTGGTGATAAGGTTTTACGTTTTCATGAACATTTAACATGTACAGAATAAATCAAACAAAGCTCGTGATGTTCATATTGGTTCAAATTAGGATTTTCAATTTTTTAATTTTGGCTTCTTATTGCATTTACAATATTACATTTTTTTTCTCAACATGAAAATGTTATTATTAACTCGTAAGGGCATAACGATGACATGTCCGGGTTCCTACTCGGGTCCAGACGAACCTTAAAAAATATATAACATGTGCATATAATGTTTATATTTTTGCAAGTTATTACAAATTGCAAAAACAGATTAATTTAAGTAATATTATACAATGTGACTGTACTACAATTTAAGATTTAAAATTTTGGAACATCCCTCGTCTGTTGTCAACACATTGTTGTATCAATATAATCACTTTTTGCTTGAAAAGTCAAGAGTGCATTACCAAATTAGATATCAGTGGAAAATAAATTGCAAACTTATCCCAAACATGCGTGCGCAGATTTGCAACTCAATCTCTTATCAAAAGTATTTAAGCTAAGAGCGTCTGTTGTAAAATCGGCTAATTTATTTGTTGTCAAAATCTTAGACATCGATCTTACTTTGACAAACTCATCAAATATATCAGAAGTTGAAGTTTGATTGAACAATACTTTTGATACAAATAGTAATAGGAACTTACTGCTAGACTGAAATCATTACTGAGAATTTGGAAATATGTAAGTATTTGTATATCTTTTTTTTAAACATTAGATATTAAGCACTAATAAATATAAATATTACACTAAATATGGTTAATTGTAGAAAATATATTCTTCTAAAGTACCGATAATGTGAATACTTTAAATTCATGATACCAAATTTAGAGCTGTCTGCTGTCATTAAGTACATTTAGTACATAGTACATAATAGAATTTCAGTGGTTTTTTTTTTGCTTTAATGCACTGATATACGAAGATTAAATTTCTACTTAAGTCGGAATGATCTGTAAATAGGTGCATCTTTATTATAACAACAAGATGCATTTGAACGAACTCGAACCGTGCATTTTTTCTACAACAATGCACTTAAAATTAATATCTATTTCCTAATTTGATAGATAGATGTTCACATTCGTATTTTGTGTAAAATGAAAACATTGTGAATCCAGTACGTCGTTTTTTACCTTAATGTTTATGTGATTATTTACCCTTTTTTGCAGTTAAACGGACACTAAAATGGCATCGTTTGTAACCGCTGTTTCTGCAGTATTAATCGTAACAATTTATTCAGGTAAATTATCATTTTTTTTTCTTTAATCTGAATAATAGCATCTAAATATAAGAGACCATGTACGTAACTTCAATGATTCCATTTTCGCCTTAAAGATGTACTATGTTTAATTTGATTTTACAAAAAAAAAAGATAATTGCTACACAGTCTCTTTGTAAAAAATAAACATGTTTTGAAGTTCAAACAAAGAAGATATGTTATTTTTAAAATCCTACACACTATAGATGATCACAATATAAAAAAAGACCAACTTTACTTGACCTGTAATAGGGAACACAGCTTGCCATACATACTTTTATTCCAGTTAGATATATTAAGTAAGAATTTCATAGATTATATTTAATTGAATATTTTACTTGTAATACAATAATGTGATTTACAATATTGGTGAGGTGTTTTAAATCTGCTAATTGATATCATGTGCAAGTTCTTGCTCAGTCTCGCAGTATTAACAAAAGTAAGCCAGTATTTTAAGGCATCAAATGTATTCACCCAATTAAAACATATCATTTATAACTCATTTTTGTTTTCCATTTTAAAGCTTTGATAATTGACCACTGCTAGCTTCAGTGAGCAGGGACAATTTTTAACATTAAGTTCATCAATTGATGAAGCATTTCAAACTTTATCTGCCTCTACGTATATAAAGCAACAATGCTTAATTTCTATTTGGGCACTATCTTGTTTATTCATTTGTTTTTATTTTTAAATCTCAGCTCTTTCTGCACCCACCGGTAGCGATCATACAGTTGCCTTCTCTGTTGGCCTTTCAAGCACACAAAATGTATACAACAAAGACACAATCGTTTACGGCGAGGTTTTTGTGAACGATCATAATGGATACAGCACTTCTACTGGAATATTTACATGCCCAGTACCAGGTATGTAATTTAATATCTTCATATGTATTCATAAAATACTTAAAGTTTTTTTCATGATACATTTTACAGTATTTCACTCATTTGTCATTGAAAAAAATGTTCTAAGAACAGTCAATACACACGCATTCTTAAATATAGAATAAGACAAAAGTAAAAGTACATAGTCTTTGATATAGAATAAGATCAAATTCAAAGTACAATTTCTTAAATATAAAATGAGATAAAAGTAAAAAAAAACATAGTCTTTGATATAGAATGAGATCAAATTTAAACTACAAATTCTTAAATATAGAATGAGATAAAAGTAAAAGTACAAATTTTTAAATATAGAATTATATCAAAGTAAAAATACATATTCTGAAATATAGATACAATATAATTCGTATTCTTAATGTTCGCATGAAAATCTTGTTGTCATTTGAAAATGCAATATTTTTATTATTTATGCTGAGTGTCCAAAGAGCGTGCATTTAGCTTCGATTTTATAACCATTCATTTATTCTTCATATAACATTATATCGTGAATATTGACACCATCTTTGCTTGTTAATTATTCTGAAATATCTTTTTATGTATATCATTTTTTTCCAGGTCTATATGTATTTCATTTCCACGCGTACAACTCGAATAAAGACACGATAATGTGGCTCGACCTTCTACACAATGATCGTGCCATGGTAAGTGTTAGTGGCTACAACTCACACACCGTAGGAAGTCAGACTGTGATGCTGAAATTACGTCAAGGTGACCGGGTTCAGATCCAGTCTAAAGAATCACAAGAATTCACGTTGTTTGGTCTACAAGAGCAGATTTATTCAACGTTTACGGGCTATATCCTACACCCTGATGTAAACCAGCACATGCATGATTCTGGTCCAATACCCGTTGGAAAATAGATAGACAAAAACATTTAAATACAACAAAATCATTTGATTTTTAATATTACCTATGTTTATATAAATATTGTTAAATCTTCAGCATATGTTTAAAATTTGTTGTAACTGTTTTTTTTTATATTATATTTTAATTTTCCATTATGTAAAGGAATAGAATCACCCATAGGAATGCAACCTATATTTTTCGTTGAACAAAAACTAAAGTTCTAAGTTACAAGCTTAATTTGTGATAGAAATAGATGTCAATATAATAGTGCAAACTAAAGAAAATTTGTCGCAAAGATACTTAAGTTTCTAAAACAAACCAATCGACTTTATAAATTTATATATAGATTGTTATATAATATGTTAGTTTATATCTTACAGTTAGACACGTAACAATTTTAGCCTTATCTTAATCCAGGTGTTTATTTGTCCATGCTTCTTTTCTACTTTAAATCGTTTACAATAATCTGGAAATGCTATTTTTCTTTTACTTTAATAGCAAACGCTTTCAAACGCACGTAAAAGTTAAAGTTTTTTGACATATCAGGTTTCTACCGCATAATTTGCTTCGGGAATGGATTAAAATCCCATACCATAATAGGATTAAAATCCCATATCATAATATGGTTAATTGGGAAACTTGACTAAAATTGTACAATACTACAACCTTACGTTAAGTTATATATGTTATTATTCTATGAATAATCAAAAAGCAAAATTTAAGAATATCGCCTTTATCTTTATGCATTCGATTATTCCACACCAAAAATAGTGCAAAAGCAACTGACACGGCAAATATGAGACTGTTTCCGACTCACTTTCAATCTGTTCTTTTTATATTTGCTTACTCTTATCTTTTAAATAAAACCATTCAGATAAGTTTTTTTGGGCATTTATCTATTGCTAATGATCAAAGTTTGTGAATATCATTTAAACATTCACTGTCAACATCAATTCAGTCAAACGTACATTAGACTTTGAGATAAAAAGTTATTTTGTTAAATTTTTCTAGTGTAATTAAGAGAGTTGTGACATTATTCAAAACCATGAATAAAATTTTGTAATAATATAATTGTATCTTATTAGTTTTACATTAATATCAATAAAAGAGGTGTATGATTATATATCAGTTATATATCTATAGTAATAAATCGTTTAATAAATTTGTTTCACTTGTTTACATGTGTCTATTATCAATATACATATACATAGTTTCTAATTATAACTTATGGAAAGGGAGAGGTCACTCTGAAACTATGGAAACCACAAAATTACATGAAAATAAAAGACTCGGTTTGATTGAGTTCATGGAAAGGGCAACAACCCCATGGGTACATTAGCACCGGCTAAGGTTGTATCTAATCTTCAGCTCCTAACGCTGAACAAAGCAAAGATGCATTAAATATGATAAACAAGATTAACAAGGAAAGGCGGCGTTCAATGAACGCAACCCCCACACGACCCAGCAACAGGAACCAGCGGCAAGGAGCCCAGGCGGAAATGAATAAATCTTTTTTCTGTAGAAAGGGCAAACCTGTTGTAAGAGTGCATTTAAATAATGTAAGATACTTATCACCTTAAGACGATATCACTGAATGCGTAATAATTTGTGGTAGATGTAATACAAAATCACTTTAATTGTACTAATTGCCAATATGAAATAGAAGCAAATGATGATGCAATTATGTGGTTCATGAGTAACTTTTTGGACACTATAACAGGACATAAAACAGACCTTTTGAAGAAAAAAAAGTTATTTGCATTTTTAGGTTTAATTAGTCTTCTTCTCTTCAAATTTTTTTTTACATACTAATACTTTGATATAAGACATTGCCTTGAAGAACTTAGCACATGTTATTTGACATTACAGTAAAACCTGTGCTAAAGGCCACCTCTGAATAAGATAATACATTCTTTGTCAACAACCGTTTAACAATTTAATAGAACAGAGTAATTGATAATAAAGAACACTTTCTATGAATCCCATTCATGTATCTCCTTCAGGTGGCCTTTGTGCACAATTTAGACTGTATTAATTCAAAGACCAGTCGAATCACATTGTAAAATTTAAGACTGGCTATACAGTATCATAAAACCAAAGACAGTCCATGATGATTTGTTTAACTACTAAACATCCTTTTGTCATTCTTGTAACTATCTTTTTACGTAAAAACACAAATTTTAATGGATTAAGTTTTCCACCTACTGAAACACAATTATTAAAGGAACAAACCATCTGATCTTTACATTTATCTACCCAACGGTCGTAAATTGACGGAAAGAAACAGAATGAATGACAAATATCCAAACATATATTAGATATTTAATCAGCAAGATGACATATGTATTGACGATTTTATTTTATTTTTGTATTTTTGAATGACAATTGATATAATTTTCAACATATGGCTTCAGAAATAGCTAAACAGAATAGAAGCAATTCAATTTATTCAGGGTATTAGGATAAAATTAATTTTAGAGACATGGAGTGTCACATGATTTGTTTTTGTATATGGAGACACACATGACCTGTATCATGTACATGATTGGTTCATCGATCTTGTATTAAACGTGAATTATTAAAAAAACTAAAATACAAATACATTCACTTTTAAAAAAGATAAAAGAAAGTGCGTTGAAATTGAAAATACAAAAGATAAAAATATCGTATATTTTAATATCAAAAGTAAATCTGAATAATCACCCATTGCATGTACAAGCAAGTACGCTGGCATTTACTGTCAGGAATCTAGACAGGTTGTGGTCCACTCTTTAGATTGAGATATCTAAGTTTTGCAACTCACTTATTTATCATTCATTATATCTATAGAAAAAAATCAAAATAAATACTGTCAGGTGTTCACATTTTAATTGGCAATTAGAAGAACATTATTATAATATTTCTATTGACAGATGATTCTTTGTAAAGATTTGACTGATTGGTTTACCACCAGCTAAAAGAATATCAATATCTTCTTACATGTTAAAAAATAAAATAGTTTATTTGGGGACAAAGTCCATTGGCTTGAGCAATTATGTATTCACAGTAAGTAAATTCAACTATCTCATTCTAGTTAATATCAGAAAACAAATATTCTGACTGGTGTACCATCATAATTAAAAACATTAAATTCTCTACTTTCATAAGGATCTAATTTATTGAACTTCTGATTGGTAATTGTTCATAAGAATAGTTACATTTATACTGAAATATTTCATGATTAACATGTATGAAAATAGCTCGAAAGCTGAGTGATGTATATTCATGTTACACTAACTAAACGATAGTATTATAAAATTAATATAACAGTCTACATGTAAGGAACCTATCAAATTTGTCATATAAACATATGGGATATCAGTGGTTTTCCACCGACACCTCTGTTGCTGGACATTGCTGGGGACTTTCTGCTATGAAAATCGCCAAACTATCTATACACTCAAATGTTTTGGAATTTAAATGAAACAAGATTAGATTAACATTAATTCCATTTATTTTATAATTTTAGGAAAATCATCTTTTACTTCATGCTTACTGTTGTTTACTTGCTTAACGTCACAGATAACATATAAATGAGTCTATCTTGCATGAACTTTGCCCTTAATCCTCGTTTTGTGGACGGAACGCCTCTCTAGATTTCATATACTCAACAGCTTCCAAGCCGTGTAGTCATTCGTGTTCTTGTAAAAGTGACAGTGGTTTAAACGAAAATGATTGTCTAAGCAATATCGACGAAACCAAAAGAGGTATCGGATTTGTTACTTGCAGGCATTTATTTGACCAAGACCACCAATTCACAAAACAAAACATTGCGACAACAATACCCTATTACAAAATTTCGGATAAATGTGTTTGTTCAAATGAAACCGTGCAAATGTCCGGAACGGATTGCAAACAAGCATACGATACAGCATTCGCTCCAGTGTTCTCCCCCTAAAATGTTAAGATATATAGCAACGTACGTTATGCATAATGTAGCAATGATCTGGAGACAATGCCGTAGCAGAAGAGTATCGTTGGTGCAACCGATGTCGCACCATATATGCATGAACTTGTGAATCATTCTGTTTTTGAAAAAAAGGTATCTGGTACTGGTGAAAATGGGTATTGATTGTACTATATCCCACCAAATAAAGTAAATTTAGATGAGACTATATGTTTTCCAGATACAGAACGAAAGTGTTACACTACCGATAGAAGACAAACAAGCTTACAGTTCTATTCAGTTTTGTGAGAAGTTCAATGCAACATTTACCATTCAACTATTTAACTTTTGAGTTATTTGAAAGCATATGCAGGTGGCACTTGCGTGTCATATCGAAGGTTCCATGAAAACCGCCGTGTGAACACATCTGCAGAGGTTTCTTAATTCAAAATTCCACCATTTTCATGTTTAAATGTTGAGTTCTGCTTACGCCGGTGCTAGGGGTAGTTTGCACTCGACAGAACCGTCTATAAACAGGCTCAATCAAACCTAGTCTGCAACATTTTTAATTTTGATGTGCTTGGCTTTGGGGATTCTGTTTTTTCTCTATTTTACACCATTAGCAAAAGAAATAATATACAGAAATAACTAAGTAAATGTAGTTTTCATAGTAAGACTGTTATGGCAAATTATAAAGTAACTTCAATTTTACCTCTGACTTGATATGATATATTTTTAATATAGGATACCATAATAGGATGAGTTTTAAACCTCAAATTTCGAACTAAAATACTGGTATTTAAAAAAAACAAAAACAAACAAACAGGACATATCACAAAACAAAATGAGCGGAAACATTTTACAGCTACCTCTCAATACATTACACATACTATAATGCACATAAATTTCTAAATATAACAATTGAATCTGTTAATGACAGAAAATTAAAATGCTGAACGACTCAAAAAGAGTCTCAATTTTCAACATTAAAGATTTGTTACCAATGACATTTGTATCCCGAATTGAGGGACCAGAGGTAGTTCGTTATAAAGTTCTTTATTTTCATGAATAAGTCTATGGTAAATATTTGGAAAGCTTCTTAGTAAATTAAGTATTTTTTAAATTGTTTCCCGACTGAAGAAACTTGCAAATGGAGAGCGACATGGTTGCCTTTCAGAAATAATATTCTTTACATCCCTCTGTCGGTGATGATAAGTTCATGTTTGATAATTTCCTACTTATCTAAGATGAAGTAAATAATACTCTAAATAGTAATGAAAGACGGAATCCCTTCAAACGGTTTCATTTCATGTGGCACCGTTATCACCCTGACTTACTTACAATTAAATATCATAATTTCATTTTAACTTAGCAACACTTACCAAACTAATGTTAGAGGGTCTTGATATTTAGAAGTTCTACAACTGAATGTTGTAGACTGAATGAAAAAGATGAAGAATTGTTGGTTATAATATGAAACATACAAGTGAGTCTAGCAAAAAAATATTACAAACGTTTTTTTTAAATTTAGGATTTTTCTTTTACAATAAACCGAACACAATGTCTCGAGAATTGTAGAAAAGTTCAAACGAATCAAAACAATTAAGTTATGTATGGTTAACCTTTTTTTAAATTCCATTTCAGTCGTCAGGTTTTTCTTTGAATGTTTTGAAAACAGGATTTTCACCTGCTTCATAATAAATTACACCTATGCTTTAATGTTCAGACAGGGAATACCAAAATAAACTATAAAAATATAATTTATTAAGATTATGGAAAAAAAAACATTATGTTGAAATTTAAAAAAAGCCTTCAATAAACAGAATCTGCAAAAATATGTGCATTGTTTTCATTACTTCCGGGGAATTTCCTGTTTTAAAGCCTTTGAAATGATTTATTAATAGCCACCTTTTGGAAATTTGTCTGCTTATAAAAGCATGTCATTAAGAAATGTAATAAGAAATATTTCTCTTTATACAAAAGATGAAGTTTAAATGTATAAGCTTTGCAATCGACAATTTAACGTCTAATTATTAAGAAATGGGTTCAAATTCAAAAACAAATTAAGTCGGTAGAGCGTGGTAGTGTTTAAAGGTTATTTTATGCCAATAATCTACACATATTTTAATTCTATTTGATAAAATAAAGGTAAGTTTTTATTATTTTTATTTTCATTTAAACAGTGACAAGATCTTTTTTGTTGATATTCAAATGTAAAAGCAAATAAGAAAAGGCTGTCTTAGGATAACTTG